TTCGCATGGCGTTGTCGCAAACCTATAAATGAAGAAAGATTATAAACTCTGTTTGGTCAGATGCATGACACTGTGCAAATCAGGTGACCGTGACCGTGAATTAGGCCATTCGCCTTTATTTGAGCACCGAGGTGCATATACACATATAAATTTACATAGATCCTTATGTATATTGAGTGCAGCATATTCGCAGAGTTACATACCTAGATCTATGTCACCGTTTTTCTATGATTTAAAAGCACATATGTACACATTTAGTCATACGGTTCCGCAGTTAGGTTTGCCTTTGTTATTGAACAGAGATATTTACATACATACGCCGACATACATATTTTCTTACCCATAAGCATGCATATTTTCTTATACATGCCCTCATAGGCATATACGCACAAACTTACATAGCTAGTTATAAGAATAATGTAAAGCAATAGACAAAAAGAAGGGATAAAAACCGGTGTTAGTTAAGTATTGAGGGCATGGGTTTTTAGTGAGTCGAAGCTTAAGCAACTAAATAAACGTTCACTTATATTGTAAAATCATCACCGCATCGACTTTTTCTTTGGCTGGAACATTTTGGCGACCGTAGCAAGGACTTTTCACTTACATTTTTTAAACGAAAGAAAGCNAAATTTTCGGACAGTTTCCCATCAACTCAAACTGTGTGAGCGATCCGATAGCTAAATNCGAAAGAAAGCCAATAGAAGGAAGTCTGGTTTTCGTTGACATACAAAATTTGCGGACAGTTTCCCATCAACTCAAACTGTGTGAGCGATCCGATAGCTAAATCATCAGCAGACGTGGGTAGCAATTCTTGCCACACATCATCGTCGTTGCCGTTGTAATCAAATTACATACCTAGTACACGTGGCTGTTCAAACTTTCGTCGGAGATTCGCCTCTTCTCATCGTCACCTGTCGAAGTTGACTACATTTTGTAAACTCGTCGCAGTCTCAGGTCACATANAATAGTACACGTGGCTGTTCAAACTTTCGTCGAAGATTCGCCTCTTCTCATCGTCACCTGTCGAAGTTGACTACATTTTGTAAACTCGTCGCAGTCGCAGGTCACATACACTGGACTGTTTGCAACACAGTTCCGTTGCATTCATCATCTGCGTTTGCTACACTCACAACATCATAATCATAGCCTTCATTGCTCAGGTATTTGTATTTTTTTTTTGTGCTTCCAAATNTGACTACATTTTGTAAACTCGTCGCAGTCTCAGGTCACATACACTGGACTGTTTGCAACACAGTTCCGTTGCATTCCTCATCTGCGTTTGCTACACTCACAACATCATAACCATAGCCTTCATTGCTCAGGTATTTGTATTTTTTTTTTTGTGCTTCCAAATGCCTCATAACAGTGAAGATAACGTGCCTGATATGTCTGATGAGGAGCAAGCGCTTTTATCCTCGCTACTAAAACAACGTTCAAATATTCTTCGGAACCTACTTAGCATGAAGCAACGAATTGGTTGTGAAGAAGTTGACACTGACACGCATGTTCTCGAATGTCGATTGCAGATGGTTGAGTCCTATTTTCAACACATCTCCGACGTCCAGAACAACATCGAAGCTCTTGTTCCGACAGACAGTTCGAGAGTAGAAATTGAAGAAACGTACATTTCAACAAAATCCAAAATTCTTTCGTTGATCAACTCCAGGAACCGCACTTCTGAGTTGAACACCAGCATGTTTCATGCCACGGCATTTGGAAATACGAGTCATCATAATCGATTACCGTCACTCAAATTGCCCAAATTTGATGGAAAGTATGCGGAATATAAACGCTTTTTTCGCACCTTTTGCAACATGGTGCACGACGATCCAACCATGCCAAAAGTTGACAAATTTAATTATCTTCTGAACTGTCTTTCAGGACCAGCTCTAAGCGTAATCGAACCGTTCCAGGTAACCGAGGAAAATTATCCGAAGGCTATCCAGCGGCTCAAGGAACGGTACGACAACAACGTACTGATCTTTCAAGATTACATCACCTCGATTTTCAACATTCCGATGATGAAAAGGTCTGACGCAGCGAGTCTACGTAATATCATCGACACCGTTGCCGCGCTGCGAGGTTCTTTGCTCTCGTTGGGCTCAGAAAGCGACATAATGAATTCAATGCTAATTCACATTGTCTTAACGAAAATCGATTCGGATTCGAAAGCAGCATACAACCAAAAGCAAGAATTTGACAAGTTGCCAGCGTGGGAGGATTGTTATAAATGGTTGAATCGCCACAGCCAGTACTTAGAAACGTTTGCAAAAGGGGAAACCACGAAGGTAACACAGCGCGATGGTAAACTATCCGGTAAGAAGACTGCAAATTCCTTCGTCAACGCAACATCAAATTGTATACATTGCAATAGTGCAGAACATAACCTCAATAATTGTTCTTCATTTCTAGCGCTACCAGCTAAAATGCGTTTTGATTGGGTGAAGCAAGCAGGTGCTTGCATAAATTGTTTGCGTAAAGGACATACAGTATCCAAATGCCCATCGAAATCTCGTTGCCGTGTTTGCCACCAATCACACCACTCCCATCTTCATTTTGCCTCCGTTACAACTACAACTTCACCTGCTGCACAAACAGTAGAACCAAAAGGAAAGGAGCCAACACCTCCGACGTCTAGCTCATCGAATCCAATTAATCCATCGGTTTCACTCATC